CCCGGTCTGCTCAGTCTGAATCCAACAAATAAAAATTAATTACTTTTTCTTTCTTATTCTAGAGCTGTTTTTCCTTCAGAAATGCATCACAATACAGTATTAAAGTAAGACAACTTAACTGCAAAAAATATTGACCTACCTCATTTTTTGTCTTGTTTTCCATTTCAAATATCAAAACACTCTTAAATTATCAGACACATTTACTGAAGAAAATAAGTTTTGTTTTCTGAGAAATGTATCAAAGTTAAGTGACACATAATTTTTTCTGACTCCAGTGACAGATATTTGTTCTTGTTTCAAGCAAAAACTCACTTAATTTTGATACATTTTTGTCATTTTTCTTCTTCAGTAAATGTATCTTGATTTAAGGATGTTTAAATATTTGTTCTGGAAAACAAGACACAAATGTGACCCTGGAGCACAAAACCGATTTGAAAGCCTGGAATCTGAGGGTGCAAAAAAATCAAAATATTGAGAAAATCACCTTTAAAGTTGTCCAAATGAAGTTCTTAGCAATGCATATTAATAATCAAAAATTAAGTTTTAATATATTTACGGTAGGAAATGTACAAAATATCTTCATGGAACATGATCTTTTACTTAATATCCTAATGATTTTTGGCATAAAAGAAAAAGCAATGTATTGTTGGCTATTGCTACAAATATACCTGTGCTACTCATGACTGCTTTTGTGCTCCAGGGTCACAAATACTGAGTTAGAAAATCATTTTTTGCAGTGTTGAAGCAAGTTAAAATAAACAGATGCACATATGTCTCTCCAGTCCTTCATGTTTTAAAATAGACCAGATTCCAGGCTTATATTCAGAGCCGCCTGTACGTGACCCTGTGACCGCTGACCGTGACCTCTGACCCCTGTGCCCCTCAGGTTGCTGTAGAGCGTGCGCTGCTGAGCGACGTGCGGCCGAGCAGGTGGTATCAGTTCCGCGTGGCAGCGGTGAACGTTCACGGCACGCGCGGCTTCACGGCTCCCAGCAAACACTTCCGCTCTTCCAGAGGTGAGTCTGACAGATTTACACTCCTCACAGGTGCAGCTCTTCACCACACACCACAGTCAGGCCTGATTTACTCCCTCTATCATCATGATCTACTATTTAATAGGGATGGACGATACTGAAGTTTTGCCGATATCCGATATGCCGATATTTTTCAACTCATTTTGGCCGATAGCCGATACCGATATATTTCCTTTTTTTTGGAAAAAACAACACAAGTCTCTCCTGTGTGGAAATTATAAACACATTATTTCAAATTTTGGTTAGTTTTTAACAACAACTTATTTGTTAGAATTAAATAAACAACAATGAAATTCTTTTACAATGACAGTACATTAAAAGCTTTGAAAATAATTATAAATCAACTATATATCAATCGCTGCATTTTTTTTTAGAATGATGCAGTGGTAACCATAAAAACCTTAAAAATTCTGAAAATCTTTTAGAGCTCATAATTCGTTTAAAAAAACAAACATATAACACATTAATGAATAAATCTGTATATATAAAATTATTGAATTTACAAGTGTCATGTTTTTTTTTTTTTATTCATGTAAGCTATAGCTTCTGACCTTTACATCAAAACATACTCATGATTTTATGACATTAATACTGCTTTATTTGTTCAGAAACACAAGTTTCTTAGTGATACACATAGGCCAGTAGCGCCCCCTATGTAAATAAAAAGCCTTACCAGACCGTAAGGTTTGATAATATCATGCATCCCTATCATGCATTAAGCTTCTTCTTCTTCTGAGACTAAATTTGGACTGTTCCTCCTCCCAGAGTTTTAAAGCTACAACCACCAAATTTGGCACAGACCTTCAGACTGGTCTGACTCGGGTTGCTTTACATTTTCTAACTGATCGGACTTACCGTTTTCATTAAACGGATGCTCAAATTTACGAAAAGTCCCATAGACTTTCATTGAGGGTGTCAAAACTTTTGCACTGTAAGACTTGCAGAGTGTTTAAACCGGCAAAGCTTAATGACTATCATAGGACAACATGTTAGCAATGTGCTAATAATGCTAAAACATGTTATTCATGCTAAAAGCATGCTAGCAACATGCTACTCATGTTATTTATTTATGTATTAGAATATGTATAACTTGCAAAAGCTGAATAATCAAAGTCTACTGATTAATCAGTGAAATAACTGATGATTAGTCAGTTAATTATTCTAATAATCATTAGATTAATCGATTAGCAAAATAACCATTTGTTGCAGCCCTAATTTTAAAGAATATTGGTAATCAGACGGCTGGTAGCCATTGACTGCCATAGTTTGGATTCTTCAAAATATCTTATTTTGTGTTCAACATAAGAAAGAAAGAAAGGTTTGGAACAACATGAGATTGAGTAAATAATGAAAGAATTTATTTTTTGGGGTGAACTATCCCTTTAAAGCCGAAATCTAAAAAGACCTGAACTGACTTATTTTTACAGTTTAAATGTGTTTTTATTTTAAAATTGGTTTCGTCTTCGAGTGACACAGATGAATGTCCTGCTTCAAATATACCGAAAAATATAAATTCTTATAATATTAAAAATATATATGTATATACATAAACAGCCAATAATTCCATTATCACAAATACAAAAATATATAGTTTATTAAAATAATAATAATAATACATACATACATACATACAGTTTCATGATGGGTAAATTTTCTCAGTTCATCTGCCGTGTTGTTATTGTTAACTAAAACTTGATATGCCTAAGACAAATGAAAGCTTCATTCGGATCAAAGAAAAGTCGATATCTAAACTGACTCACATTGCTTTCTTTTCATATGTCATGTTAACTTGTTAAATGTGCTGTAGACTATTTTCTGCAAAGTTCTCCCACACACTGGGAGTTTAGTTGTGTTACAGAAACAGATGTGCTTTCTCATCACACTCGTTTCACTGATATCTGTTATCTGTGCTATTCCAGGAAAATATGTTTACATCAGCTTTTAATGTGTCATGAAATCAGTCTCAGCACCAGCTGCTAAATATCAGAAACCAGACAATCTATCTAATATAAAATAATATATATA